GTAAGCATAATGTTAAGTAAGAGCTTTTACTTGAGCAAGGACATTTGTGAGCAGTGTTCAGGAAGTTCCTACAAAACATTTTTGGAAGGCTATAGAGGAGAGCTTTACCCTAACTATAAAGATAAAAGACAGATGTTCAGATTGACCTGCACTTGGCAAATCAGTTTAATTATGAAAGGTTCTTTTTGTACTGCTCTTTATGAGATGCTACAGTCTGATCTGAGGTTCAGTGAAATGCAGTGAAAGAGATTAGAGATGGTTCAGTGTGAGAGCAAAGAAGAAGTCCTCACCCAGAGCCTGAAAGACGGGAGACAAGAGGTAGAGACATGGAAGGGTTCATAGGGAAACACACATCCAAGTCCACACAAACTGAATTTTCAATCCATTAAGAACAGATATAGAACAAAGCTCATCCTATCAAGAGCAAATACTGAATTTATTTATTTATTTATTTATTTATTTACTTACTTACTTAGTGCCAGTTCTGGGGCTTGAACTTAGAGCTTAGTTCTCAAGCTAGAACTCTACTACCTGAGCTACAATTCCACTTCCAGCTTTTTTTTTTGTCAGTTGTGGGGCTCCAACTCTGGGCCTGGGCACTGTCCCTCAGGCTCTTCACTGTCCCTCATAGCTAGCACTCCACCACTTGAGCCACAGCGCTACTTCCTTCCAGTTTTTTTGATGGTGAATTGGAATAAGAATCACACGGACTTTCTTGTCTGGGCTGGCTTTGAACCATACTTTTCAAATCTCAGCCTCCTGAGTAGCAACATTATAAGCATGAGCCACCAGTGCCTAGCTTGACTGTATTCTTAACTGTATTTTTTAATGTATTCTTAAAAGATAATTTCTATCTTCTAATCTGATCAAAGAAACCAATATATGTGTATGTTTTTGAAGCTGCTTGATTCTCATTCAGATCCATAGATTTAGCTAATAAACTAACTCCTCCAAATTTGCTCAGACTCATACAAAATCATGTTCAAAAAAGAAAGATCCCCTTCCCTCAGTTACTTGATTCATGTAACCGTAACCCCTTTGTGTATCAACTTTCCAATAACAACATAACTAATTAACTAATTAAATGAATAGAGAGTAATAGAAAAGGTACCCAGGAGCACATCTGTCAACCTGAAAGCATCTTTCCCACGCTTCTAGTTTCATTCTTTGATCCTCTGGAATACTTTTTTTTTAATTGATAAGTGTTTTTTTATTGTGAAAATACCGTATAGAAGGGTTACAATTACATGAGCAAGGTAATGAGTACACTTATTATCAAGCATTGTTGCCTCCTCCTTTGTTTCCCTTTCTTATGTTCAAACAAGAAAAAGAAAAAAAGAGAGGGGAATCAAACGGTCATATTCTTATCTTCCAGGAAAGTGATACATTGAATGTTTCACGTATGCTAGTAGATACAAGTTGGAAGCCAGTTTCCCTATTCTGTAAGGAATACTTCTGTAGAATTCTACCACAGCTCTGGATGAGCTTGTTTCTTTCTCTGCAGTCAGGGAAGTATGCAATTCATGCAGCAGAAATCAGTTTTATCCATTTCAGCTTTCCTCCATCTCACTTGGCTACAATTCTAGGTGTCAGTGAAAGTTAAGTACTTTGGTTTTGCTCTATATTAGTCTTAACAGCCTACTATCAAACATAATGTGAGTCATTTCTGTTGTTTTGCACTTCTGGGCATCAAATTCAAGGCACATGGTAGGTGAAAGTACTCGGTCACTGAGTTACATCCCTCATCCCCTTATATCTTAAGCTTTAGTATGCATACAGAGGTATAGGAGGTGTTGTTAAAATAAAGATTCTTCCCTGTAATTCTGGACTGAGGCCTCAGAGTCTGAATTTTCTTAACAAGTTCCTAGACGATGCGGATAGTATGGATATGTGGATCACAACTTGAGTACTTGAGTAGCAGTAAGAAATAATGAAGAAAATGTATCACCCAAGTGAAGGTAAAACTGAACCAAAAGACTAGCTCTAGATCAGAGAATACTGATGATTTCTGACAGGGATTTGTGTACCCCACATAGTTTGAGTGTTAGTGTTCCAGATATTCCCATGGTCTTACAAACCACCACCCCACAATGCTAGTTTCCTAGGAAACACAAGAAGTTCAAAATAATTAGAAAATAATTTTGATCCAATTTATGTAGTTGACATGTGCCGTTTAATCACAGATCAGGCAAATGAGAGTACCAGAATGACCAGTTTCCTAATTAATGCATTTCTTCTTTTAAGGACCTCATGAGTCCTAAGATTTTGTGGTCCTTAAATAAAATAGTAAGAATATTTACTACTTGAAGTGCACTCTCTCTCTTATCTAACTATATCTCTCTATGTAATTTGTTTATATATTTATATTCGTACAAATATATAAATGTTTATAATATTTATTATATATGTAATATATTACATATACATGATCTGTGCAATATGTGAGATATAATGTATATAATATGTTACATATAATAACATATAAATAATAATTACATTTATATATAATTTATATATTCACTCTTTGTATCCCTTTCTCTCATTCCCTCTCTCTCTTCTATCATCAACTCTCTTTTTCACTATGTCCTCTCTTTATATGTTTTATATCATGTTCTATGTACTCAATAAACATGTTTTAATTTTATCATGAATGAGAGATAAAATTAAATGGTGTATATTCTTAATTCTGAAATTACTCCTTAAATACAGAGTATGCCTGTGTAAAACTATAGTCCCGGTGACGATCCTTATCTCACAGGTTATATTTCAGACTCACGTATTTTCCTAGGTAGATGTTCCTCTATTTCCTTCACAAAATGTATTTAGAGCAAAAATACTCAGTTCCATTGTGCATAAGTGTTTTGAAGAATTCTAAAATAATCCAATGCAAGATGTTTGTTGTTTAAACTTACCAATTGTTATTGTTTATGATATAACTATACAGCATACTTCTTGTGAGGCAAAAGATCTGAAACTGCTAGTATTTCATATCATAGGCATTCTTCTTGAAGTAAGATACTTCCTGTCCCAAATAATACAATAAAAATGTTGGTATTGACTTTGGCTTGAACAAAAAAGAGGTAACTCCTATATTAGAAAAAAGTTTTATCCATAACTCTCTGATGTCAGAATGATACTGTTGGTTCTTACTTACTCCAGAGATAGAATTGTGTAAAAGTCACTATGGAGTTGCTGTCAGAGCTAAATTATGGGTATAGGTGCTTTGTAAGGTTGTGATGAACTACTAAAAATGACAAGTATGAAGTAGTCAAGTAAGCTTTTTTACCTGTAAGTATGTTTGCTTTCTGGAACCCTTCAATGATGATTTATTGAAGCATAATATTAGGTAACATGAATCTAATCTAAAATGCTTTAGAATAATAGCAACATAAAAAGAGTAACCATAAAGGACTTATTATTATAAAGCTTCACTGCATGGTCTTAAGACTAGTATTATGTTCAGACTTGAGAATTTTGGCAAGTTAATGTATGTGAGTAAATAAAATGTAAATTTTATATAATTTCCAGTTTGTTTTTTACCTTAGATGTGAAGTGGCATTGCTAAATACTTTTGTAGAAGAGTAACTTCTAAAACTTTTTTTAAAAAGTGCTTGTCTTTTATTTGGAACAACTGCATCATGAGATTTGTGCTCATAAAAACCTACTGTCTTTCAACAATGCAAATAAGTCTGAATTTGTAGTATCTTTTAAAATAAAACAGGGACTGTAACTTTCTTCTCAGTAATCTCTAGAGTATAAAAATGCTTGGCTTTTAATATTTAACTGTTTTACTTACAATTAAGAAAGTAGCTAGGTTGGCCTGGGAAGGTGGCTCAGTGGTAGAGCGCTTGCCTTGCATGCCAGAGGCCCTGGGTTCGATTCCTCAGCACCACATAAGCAAAACGAAAAAAGCCGGAAGTGGCACTGTGGCTCAAGTGGTAGAGCGCTAGCCTTGAGCTGAAGAGTTGAAGGACAGCGCCCAGGCCCAGAGTTCAGACTCCACAACCGGACCCCAAAAAAAAAAAAAAAGAAAGTAGCTAGGAAACAAGTACAATGTTGGGTAATAAAAGTTCAAGGCCATCTAATGGAAAAGCCAGAACTACAGGAGCTCTTGTCATAGCCAGTGTTTGAACCCAGCAAGGACAGGTACTGAGTTAGAAGGGAGTTTGAGACTCAATATCTAGCCTCCCTCTAGCAAGATTTCAGCTAAGGAATCTTTTGAAGACTGAAGCAAACAACAAAACTTGATTGTCCACAGTTTTCATGGCACATGGTTACTTCAACGTCATGTCTTTTCTTTTCTTTTCTTCATGTTGTTCAGAACCACATCAATTTTAGGAATCTCCATATTCCATAGGAGGAAAACAAAAATGCCAGTCTGAAAGTTCAGTGTCTTTGGCATTCTATTGCTTATCACATTTTTGCCCTCTAGGTGCCAACCTGGATTCACTGGAGCAAGATGTACTGAGAATGTGCCCATGAAAATCCAAAACCAAGAAAGTATGTTAAAAATAATCTGAAATTTGCTTTCTCCCCCAAACTACAGCAACAATCACTACCACTTGGTGCTTTTACAACTCAGTTGCAACGGAAGCCCTTTGTGCTAATAATGGTTTAACTACCCGCGGCATAAACCCATTCACCATTCATGTTTAGCTGTGTCTCCCCGAGAGTGAAGAGTGGCTAGTCAGGATGGGCTGGGATGTTGGCATTCATGGCGGTCATCTCCTTCCAACATCTGTGAAAAGTGATCTAATAGAAAACTAGAAGAATGAAACATGGCTCCCTGTGAAAGGATCTTTCCATTTTGTCCAAATTTGTCTCCATTTTGGAGGAAATGCCACGGTCAGAAAGCCATGATTAGGACAAAGATTCTGTTCCTGAAGGTGAACTCACCAAGATCAGTCAAATGACACTGAAGGAGCTTCTTTCTAGCATATATTCACCTCTTCTCTTTTTTCTCTGTTTTTTCTACCATTGTTTTTTGTTTCTTCTCTCAGGTGCCCAAATGAGTTTACTGGTGATCGCTGCCAAAACTACGTAATGGCCAGCTTCTACAGTACGTCCACTCCCTTTCTGTCTCTGCCTGAATAGGAGCATGCTCAGTCGGTGCTGCTTTCTTGTTGCTGCATCGTCCCTCAGATTCACCTAGAGCTAGATGTGTTTTACCAGGTCTAATATTGACTGCCTCTGCCTGTCGCATGAGAACATTAACACCATTGTATTACTTCCTCTGTGCGTGACTAGTTGGCTTTGAGATAACTGATAGGTGTGTAAGGCTCCGGATGTTTCTGAAATGGATACTGCATAATGTGATGCACACTGACAGTCCATATCAAAAAGTGAAATTATATAATAAAAGCCTTTAAAAGTCTCACTTGTATTGGTAAAATAAAATCATTCCACAGAACAGTCCATCTTCTGTATCTAATGTCAACTTCCTGAGAGGGCTGTTGATACACTGTAACAATTATGCACTTGAAATGATGGTAAGTTTTGGCCCAGTGTGTTATTTACAACAAATAAACATCATAAAAAGAGTTCAGATGTTTCTCTTCATTAACCAAACAGTTTGCATGGAGGCATTAAAAACAAAGTCACTGAGTAAGGAAAATTAAAAACCAACATTTCACAGCAAAGAAAATAGCCTGGCTTTTATTTATGTTGCTTAGGGAGCAAGTAATTCAAGACTAGTTTAACCAATCATTTTAATGCTAGCATTTCTTTATATAAGTATTTCTTCATGTTAGCTTCAAAGGTAATTTTACTCTTCAAAATATTTTTGCTTTGAGACATAACAACTCAACTCTAGAATATATATGTGTGTAAATAAATATAATATACATACTTTTAATGCAGAACTGGGAAAATCAAATGGATTCTGTGGCTTCATAATGACTTGAAGATCATTTCTAAAATATCCACTTTGCATTATATTTAATTACAAGGAGAAGTCAACTAGGCATATGTCAGATGCATTTCTCTTTCTTTTGCGGAGTATAGTTACAACTTTTTGTTCTGAAGTTTTTCAGAACATTGTACTGGAAATGGACTCCATTTAGTTATGCAATTAGATCAAACTCTCAGATAAGAAGAAATCTACCACTGCAGCATCAAAACAGTCTTAGTTGATGCATTTTCTGATATACATAGCTGCGCTCCACTAAAAAGTTAAGTCTTTCATTTTCAAAAGCAGACATGAGGTTATACTTTTCAAGCCCTGTCAGTTACTTACCCAGAAAAAATATTTCAAATAGCTATTACACTGTAAGTTTATAGAACATAAGAAATCATGGCCCACACTATTTAAGGGGCCTTTGTTGTACTACATATAAAGAATAAGATTATGTTAACAGTCATGGAATTCAAGATCAATTTCTGTAGTCCATTATGGGAAAATTATACCCATAATAATTACTTAATTAATGAAGTGATACATATTTACATATGTTAGATATCAAGATTATGCCATAGGCCATTTTCTTTTATAAAGAAAAAAATAGCAAACTGGCATTGCTACATTTTCTAACACAGTCATGGCTATTTGCATAAATATTTAAGTAACATGCATAGATTAATGCTTTAAGGTAGATAGTATGGAAAGTAAAAGTAGAAGGGAAAATAGAATTGTATTTCATACATAAAAGACTTTTATTAGAAATGCACATTTGAATTAAAAAATATAGACTTAGCAAGTACATGTGACAATCAATACAAATATAATAAAAATCATATTTTATAATTTAACAAAATATAACATTTAAGTTATTCTTACATTTTTTGCTATTATATAGAGAGATTTCATTGTGCAGGTCAGGTCATAAGCTTAAAAAAAAACAACTATTAAAAATGAAGGTAGTTCCCAGAACAACAATGCAGTTACATCTGCCAGTGATCAGAAGATGTTTTCATCCCATTGTAGGCCATATTTTTCCTTCATGTGATATTATTTTAAATAGCCACTCCATATTTGTGAAGTCCAAAGTGTGATTCCTTAAATAAATTATTTAGTAAAGTTGGAATGACACTTTGGGAAGACATCCAGGAAATTAACATTCATATTTAATCGGACTTAACAAAGATTGATAGGAAGCACATTTATGAACCAAGTATGTAATGACTATGTATTACTAATGTCTCATGTCAGAAATGCAGGAACTTCTAATCAGACATGGCTTTCAGTAGTTCATTGTATCACCCTTTATGTCTGAGATTTTCAATTTTTACTTGTGTAATCGGCTATATAGAAGACAGAAAAATATTTTGCTGCTCTAAGAAATTCATGTTTAAGCACTAATCAAACCTAAAAAGGAGCTTTTTTTTATTGCCACAGAGATCCACTTTAAAATGTGTTTGCAGACATAATGTCTGGAAAACATAATATAAATTTTAAAGGAAATGGTAGCCCCTAGTCTCAAAATATTTAAAAATCACCAAACCATATTTTGAATTGAAGAAAAGCATTCTAAAAGAATGTATACGTTTAAAGTGTTTATTAACACATAATGTATACATTAATTGAATTTGATATAGAGATTCTTGTTGGCATTTCCTCTGGGACATGTATTGATTTATAAAAGCTGATTTAAAATATGAAACAAAGGAACAAATATATATTCCATAAGACATTTGTCTTGAAATATAGCATATTTATTTTACTTTCCAGGAAAATATTGTCAAGTTTAGTCAGCTTCACATCTTGTAGTGTGGAGCAATATATGTGTGTGTTCATGTGCACACGCATGTGGGTGCGTGTGTACATGCATGCATAAGTAATCAATAACTAACATGTAGACTTAATGAACAAAAAAAAAGGAAACTCATTCACAGCTTCCATAATTAAAAGAGACAGTATCGAGCATGTATTTCATATTTAGAAAGACTAACAAATAGTAAGAATAACCTGGAGTTATAGGATATTTTTAAAAGAATACCAATTTAGAACTTTTAGACCCATTCTGAGGGTAAACTTACCAGTTATTTTTTAAAGCAATTTGAACCATAGGTTACTAGTGCATCAGGTATTTTGTGCATTTCTAAATGTTTTTCAAACCTGCTGAAAAAATGTATTTATCAAATATGTGTATCTTTGCTAATAATAGAATAAAGACACACTGTGTATAAAAAAACTTGTCCAAAATTCCAACTGAGTGGAAGATTTTACTGTATGTGTGATTGAGTGTGTTCTTGTACACAAGAAATTTGGGAAATAAGTAGAAATTTCCAAATACTCAGTAGTTCTATGGATTGGCATATGTGAAAACAAAACAGTATCCACATTGTAAAGGTAAGTTTCAAAGACCAGATAAAAAATTCATCCTATCTAGAGTTGGCATTGATACAACTCATTAGAACTCTGAGGGAAAAAAAAAGTCAAACTATCCCATAGGTTGTTTATATAAATAGGCCCATGATATTATATATATATATATATATATATATATATATATATATATATAGTTATTCCCTTTTTTTCCTAATGCAATTGGAAATTTAAATTAACCTCTAGGTTAATCAATTATCTTCAAGCAATTATAAAATCCTAAGGCATAGGATTACTGAGTCAATATTTAATAGTTTCTGAAGACTCTTTTTAAATTAATTTTTTATATTGCTCAGGGCATGGCAGGAAATCACATGTAGAAAAGGAAACTAAATTGTTTACAGTAACCTTTGTGTTTTTGAATTATTAATTTAATTTGAAAAATGCAGTGGCTAGGCAGAAGTTCAGTACGGAAGTGTGTGATACATAATGAGCCCACACCAACATTAGATTAAACAGAACAGATAGAAGAAATAATCTCTCCCTGAAAGGGAAAGTGTTTGCAGATTCTGCTTTTTTTGACTTACATTGAAAGAAATGTGGCTACCAGTAGCAAAAATCAATTAGAGCAGTATTCTCTTTGTGACTAGAATGACCGGTGCATGTTTCCTCTGCTTATTTCCTTGTTAGGCTGTAAGGCCAGAAGAGATTCCAGTTTTAAGTACCAATTTCCCATTGAATTATTTGAAATTGGAGTTTCCTGATATGAATGACTTTTCTTGAAATGAAATTAGAGTTAGACTCACAGACTTACCTATAAAACTGTAAATGCAGTGATATGTATGCATGGGCATGCTACTAATTTTATTGATGACTTAACCAAGCTTTCTATGCAACTAATATAGACCGTTAGCAGTGTTCATGTAGGCATGCAATTTATGATTTTCTGGAAAGAATTTCTCTAGATATGTCTTGGTTTTAACCCTTAAATTATTACTGACTGGAAGGAGGGAAAGGCAAGAGATGGAGGTGCTTCTAGAAAGAAAATTGGGTCACACCCTCTCAAGGAGGAAATGAATAAAACATTTATTATCCATTTCCTTAATGTAGTTTATCACATTGATGTGCCAAAGTTTATGTGAAGAATGCAATGAGAAAAAAATGTCAGTTTGACAAAGTGAATGTTACACAGAAGCAAGGGAAATTTGTTTGCATTAGAATAAATTACTGAAAATATCTTGTGCAACTAAATTAATCCTATAGCCATTAGCTTTTAATTTAACCTGAAAAAAAAAAAAAAACAAGTTCTTTGTCTGAGTACACTGGGCCTGCAGCAGAGGAAACATTTATATAGTTCCTCCCATTATTTGTATATTAATTTTGGAAGCCTCAGTTCTTTTAAGGGGCTGCAAATTTTTAAAGTCTGTTTTCTGGATATATCCCAGAAGCTTTTAAATTTTCCTGGCTATGCAGTTAGTCAAAAGAAAACCTTAATGTAGTGAGCAGCCCAGGGTACATCTCCAGATGTAGATTTCCCAAAACTCATGTTTTGACTCTATGCCACAAGGTTATCTAGTGAGATGCAAATGTTGTACATAATGAGAAATTACCTGGTCCCAAGGCCTTAAACAAGTAAATGGCAGAGGCAGGACCTAAAACCACAGTGAATTTCTGTACCTTTTTCCTCTACTATTGCTCTCTCTTCTACTCCCATGCCCAAACTCAAGGTTTTCTAAGAACAAACACCCTTATTCACCACCATCACATTTTTTCAAATTCTCTTATCAGATCACCTT